GAAAAATAACATTTTTGAAAAATGATATTTTATTCATATGTTATGTCCTCTGTACCAGGACATGAATAGACATGAAAAGGTACAAACAATGGGATTTTTCAAAAATCACCAATCAATTTTTAGGTTTCAGGATTTATAAGGATGATTCTCAACTATGTTATAAAAGATAGAACATAATGATTTGATATACTATTTTACTTTATGCAATATGTGTGTAAAAGTTCCATAAACTGGTTTTCCCATTAAACACAATGTTATCTATACACTGTACCTAATTTGCATATTAATGTGCTGTTGGGACAGCATGTTGAAAAAAGAAGTGTAATAATGCAAGTAATAATTGGACAGATTTTCATAATAATATCTAATATTTCATAAGAATATTGATATATATATAGTTTATTTTCCTATTCATTTGTTGTTTCTCCCAAAATGCATAATAAACATGATTTTAGTCCTGGTTTCCTCTACAGTGGACGTGTATGAAATCAATATCCTGTTTCATAACAGGAAGTCATATTTTGATTTGAAACCCCATAACATTTTCCTGAGATGTTGATTTATGACAAACAATTTGAAAATTAATCAGATTTAAATTATAATTACAAAATATTATCATATTTCTATAAGGATGTACAATTTTATCACTAAATTAATGTCAGCCATATTTAAAGACCAAGCAGAGGGAGTGGCCATGGAGAAACTTCCAAACATTTGGTATCTCTGAAAAGTCCTGAATGTGTTCTGTACAGGACCTCCAGACTTATAACTGTATTATTACATTATAACATTATTATAATTATATTATTATTAATTATATAATTATATTATAATTATAATTACACAATTATTTGTTATAACTGACCATTCAAAAAAATATTAGATTTGTTTATTATTATTATTATTATTATTATCAAATTTCAAGTAGGCCTAGGATAATAATAGTACACTCTAAAAAATGCTGGGTTAAACTTTTAACCCAGCGCTGGGTTATATTTAACCCAGCATTTTTTAGAGTGTAGTAGTAGTAGTAGTAGTAGTAGTAGTAGTAAAAGTAATACATTAATTAATTTTTTTCTGAATTGACTGCTGCTTTTAAGAATGCCGATTACTTTTATTCTTCTTCTTCCTTTTCCTTCTTCCTTCCTTCTTTTCCTTCGTTTAAAACTGATTGTTCAAAACATGAATCTTTCAACATTTATGTGCCAAAACATTTTAATATTGTCTAATGTGCTCTGGATTCTCCCCGGGTTTACCTCGCTGCTATTCGATCGCGCATTTTCAAGGATGTAGCTGGCGATTATATGCGAACCGTTCCTTGCAGATGCAATTCCTCGCCTACAGCTAGGCTATTCACGGATTTAACGCGCACTTCAAGATGACGTCGGAGACAGCAAAACACACTCCTCGTATTTCTAACACATTGCTGGACACAAACATTAGAAAGCAGTGGAGCCGTCCGGAGAAAATAATCTGGCCCGTTGCTCCTGATGGTTACATCCCCAACTCTGTCGTCAGGAGTTTGGCGCCGTATCCACAGTTCAATAATCCTTGTGCCAACAGGGTGCTTTAAATAAATACACAAATAGAAGAACACGCAAGACGCAACTCTCCTTTCGACAAAGCAAAAGCACCTGCTAAAGTATTTTCTCGAAAAGTATTGTCCTCTCAAAGAAGAGCAACAGGAAGATGTAGAAATCAGTTTGGAACATTGCATACAAAGTGTGCCTGAGGAGACAAGCTTGACATCACCTCAAAATAAGTCTGAGGAGACAAAGACAGGGGCCAGCTGGACTCAAAGAGCTGTGCCCCAGAGCCAAAACCTGCTCGAGAACAGTCAAAAGGTTCTAGAGTAAAATGCTTCTTCTGTAGTCGAACTCCAAACGAACAATTCTTCTGTAGATGATCTGCAGGTGACAGATTCTTCTGTAGATGATCTTCAGATGAATGCTTCTTCTGTAGAGGAGCTAAGGAACGAGGAAGATGGTGAAAAAGATCAAAGCCTCTGTGAAATAAGCAATGCTTTTTCCTCAAAGCAGCCAGTGAAGAAAGGTCAAAAGGCCGGTTTTAAACTCCCAGAGGCTGTCTGTGAGCCCAAGGTTGCAGGAGGAGAAAGATGAGTTACACAAGGAGAGAGTGTCTTCCATTAAGGTGCAAAAGAAAAGTCATAGTACAAACAAAAATGTACACGTGCCAGAGATTGGGGCTCCATGTGGCAAAAGACTGATTCCCCCTTAAAGAAACTGAAGTAATTTGTGTCACTCCTTCTTCTGCTGTGTGACAGAAGGCCTAATTCTCTCCTCATGTATCTGTATAAAAGATCAAAAGCAGAAAAAGCTTCTGGAGCGGTGGAGCAGGCTCCAAAAGTGGCTTAGACCACAAATAAAACTTTTTATTTGTTTGCAAAATAAAAGAGATATTTATTTATTGAGACTTTATTTTTTGACATACATTTCCACCACTGTCATTTACTGCAATACATAAAATAATAAAAGTGAGGTGTGTAATAAAAATAATAATACAAATATTAAATTATCATTTATTATCATAGATAGAAGTTAAAGGGAGGAAGTGCTGATGTCTAAAGTACAGAAAATATCATTATTATACAATATTAATGACAAAATCAGACAAAATCCATATGATTTACTTGACTGAACTGTGGATATCAGTACCACAAAAATTGTTTGGGTCAACTGTTTCTACACATTTACATAGTTTATGTATGCATGTATTTATTTATTTATTTATGTATTTATTTATTTATTTGTGTTAATAAATATGTTCTCCCATTTTGTTTTCAATGAGACAATAAAGAGGTTACATTTAATAGACTTCATTCCAGATTATGATTGAGGCAGATTTCTCCTTTAAATAAACGTTTAAAAAATGTTCAAATAAAATCTGAATGTAATGTGATGTAAAGTACAAATTATGGGCGACAATATGCCTTAGTTTCAGTTCAGATGCCTTGGAAGTGAGAATGTGTTGTACAGTATATGGTCATGCCCATCAAGTGTCCAATTAGATTTTGCCTGAAGTGAAATCAATACCTGAGATTGATGGTTTAGATTAAATCTTAAACCCATATTTAAGTGCTGTTGCATAGTCATTGCCATTTTAGAGCCAGAATGACATTCAACTGATTTATGAAGGCATGAACTTCATAAAAGAAACCTTCATAAAAGAAGAATAATTAATGACCATTAACTTAAATTAACATTTACCTGTCACATTTCTGTAACAGCATGAGCATACTGTAAAAACAATCATCTGAACTGAATTAGAGAACTAATTTAACAGACAAAGGTCTTGGGCTGCTACTGAAGTGATGTCCAGTCCTGTTCCTGGAGGCCACTGCCACTGTCCTGCAGAGTTTAGTTCCAACCCCAATTAAATACACCTGAAACAACCAATCAAGGTCTTCAGACTCACTAGGGCTGCGTTCCACTCCACTTTTAGACACGTACTCGCGAACTTCCCTAAGCACTTACCCTCGGGGGAATCCTTGCTGCCATTTTGAAGTGCGTTCCACTTCGTGAAGTGGACGAGGGAAGTTTATATGGACAGACCCTCGACCCCTCGATTTTGACCGAGGGAGCGAGTCTGCTTCATATGCACACTTCAGGCCGCTCCATAGACCACAATGCAACACGATTGTGACGTCATCGCAGATCCCGTTTAATTTATCCCCATCCCAAACAACTCTATAATATATGAATGATTTTTTTTTTTACATTTATAACAGCCCAAGCATATCTATATACATATAGAATGCTGCACCAAACAAATTCGTAAGGGAAAAAATGTAAACAATAAACCAACTCCATAGCTGATTCTAAGTGATCAAGTGCTTAGGTTGTTCCAGTTCAGCACATTCCAAGGGTTCCGCCAATAGTGGGCACTCGTGCAACGTAATCAATGACGTACATCCGAGTAAACGAGACGGAGGGAAGTTTGCGAGTGAAGGGTATAAAAAAACGGATTGGAACGCAGCCTAGAAACTTCCAGGAAAGTGTGTTGGAGCAGGATGGAGCTAAACTCTGCAGGACATTGGCCTTCCAGGAGCAGGATTGGACACACCTGGAATATACTATGAAAGAAACTTCAATTTTTTTTAGTCTATTAAACAAAATTCATTCAATTTATCATTCAGTAGTCAGAGTCAGAGTCAACACAGTATGAAGTTATTTATATTACATGTTTACAAAACCTGCAGAGCAAAGTTTTTCACTACAGAAGTGCAGGCCACAAGGCATCAAAGTTATTCATATTTATATGTCTACATTACTGCTATGCATGCAACACTATATCAAAGTTGTTTATATTTATGTTTACATTACTGCATTACATGCAACACTTTATCATAGTTGTTTATATTTACATGTTTACATTACTGCAATGCATGTGTCACAAACTGCTACTGTGAGGAGACGAAGGAGAATTCGGGACGAAACAGCCTTTATTAATCCACAAAAGACACTCAGGAAGGAACACACACGTAGCACAGGGGAGTTGACGTTTAACACTGGACACCAAAACCAGGAACAGACACACTTTATA